TCACATGAAAAAACTATGTGGTTACTACATTTACCCATATTATCAAGTCCCCACCCACACCCCTATGCAGTCACTGTCCATCAGTGCACACCTGTTAATCTTATGTGATGACTTCTGAGTAAGTGGCTTCAAATCCTTTTTGGAAATACCAAGGCTTAGGGAAACCCTCACCACCAGCTGGTTTGCATACACAAGAGCCTAGTGGAAGATATAAATCGCCACTTACATGTCCTGTGGCTCTGACACTTCTAAGTAGCGCATCTTCATTAACTGAGGAAAGTCCATTTCCTCCTTCACCTCCCAGTCACTTCGAACTTCAACTGAAGAGTCTCGGGGTTTCTGTGGTGGAAAATCATTGGAGGCAAAAGATTACAATTAGTGCAAAACTTAAGCAAAAGGCAGGCTAATACTATGATGGGCTTTTTTCATTCAGTAAATGTATCTGGAACATTTACTACATCCTGGCTGTTTTTTTTTTTACCATAGAATCCCTAACTCTTTAGGAGCTGACAATCCAGAAGAGGACTGAAGGGGCCAAGAGTTCAAAAACAAATGGGAATTTTATGCCTAGGTAGCTATGTCACCCGGGGAATGTCGTATCTTTATGTTTACATATTTTTGAGGGGTGGAAGGAAGCAGCTCCTTTATGTTTCCCTTAAGAGTATTAGCTATTTATTTTCAATATAGCATCATGTCCAGCAAAATATAACTTCCACAACTGTAACTTTACTCATGCTGACATGTGTCCTCTATTCTCACATTGTCTATATGAACACTTGTAGAGGAATGTTCATAGCAACACTTTTTCTAATAGCAGAAAGTGTAGATAACCCAACTGTCCATCAACTGGTAAATAAACAAAATGAGGTACACCCACAAAACAAATTTGGCAATAAAAAGGAATGAAGTGCCTACCAACACATGCTACAACGTGGATGAACCTTGAAAACATGATGCTGAGTGAAAGGAGCCAGTCACAAAAGATCACATATTGTATGTTTCCATTTATATGAAATGTCCAGAAAAGGCAAATCCAGAGACAGGAATATTTAGTAGTAGCCTAGGGCAGGGAAGTATAAGGCCTAACTACTAAGGAGCACAGTTTCCTTTAAAAACCATGACAATGTTCTGGAATTGAATATATAATGGCTATACAGTTCTGTGCAATACATTGCAAACCAGTGAACTGTACACTTTAAATGGGTGAATTTTGTAGTATGTGATATGTGAATTACATCCCAATAAAGCTGTTAAAAAAACAAGCAACCAAACAAAATAGAATTTCTAGACAGAATTCTATATGGATACACTACCTGTGATTTTTGGTCCCATTTCTGCCTCACGCCAAACTGTTTCTGGAATTTTTTCTGTAGTCGTATGCGTTCTCTAGGAAGACAGGAAAAATTGTGCTTTTTGTGCAAAGTTCCAAGTCAATGGCCTTTTCAAGACAGAAGCTGCCACTGTCTTCAGCTAAACCTCAACATCCCCACTGACTTCACTGAACTATGGAAAAAGAGGGCTTAATGAAAAAGAACAGACCAAAAGAGGTCAAAGAAGCTCTAGAAGAGGCATATTGCCCCCACTACTGACCAGCTCTATTTTACTCAACTGGCAGCCCCAGCCTAGGCAGGGCTGTTATACATGTTGCTCCTGGGAGCTCATAGATCCAGGTGGTGGGCTGTGCCACAGCAGGACTGAGCCTAGGCAAGCTGCAGAGCTCTCTCATCTGCCTTTGTTTCCCTTCTGCACACATGTCCATGGCAAGTAGTTCCCCACTTATGCTATCTGCCATGAACTGGCCCTTGGAGAATGATACCAAGGCTAAAATAGTGGCTTAACCAGTTTCAGGAAGGTGTTTTTTTTCAATGTGGGAAAGGCAACCACTCTCCTGCTTTGGCCTAGTGATCTCAGGGTATGGTCAATCATGGAAGAATGATTTATTCTGGTAGGATGGGAATCTCACCTCTCTTTCTGCTTTGCACTCTTAGGCAGGGTCTGCAGGTTGAACTGCAACATATTCCGTCGATCCTTGTCTCTACGGAGGTTCCGCTGTGAATAAGGAGAAAACATCCATGTTAAAATCTTACAGATTAAGTTTACAATAGGGAGAATTTTTTTTTTTTTACAACTTCTAAGAAGTGAGCATGAAAATAAAATCTTTATTTTCAGTTATTACCCACCAATAAGAGAAAGTAAGGTTCACCGTTTTAGCTCTTGACACAAAGTGAACTAGGAGGCAAATTTACATCCACCAGATACAACTAATGGACCAACATTTTAAAGTTCAGACTATCTTGAAAGCTTGCAACATAACAGATATTGCTGTGTATTCTCTAGTGACAGAATGCTAGCAATGGCTGACAGTGAGTACAACTTGTGAAGTGTTTTTAAAAGTAAGTGTTTTCTACATGTTGCTAGGAATCAAGAGGTTTATGAACATGTTACATGGCTGGAAATGATATAAGATACTTGAAAGTCTAAACATATTGATTTAGGAGCACGTATGTTGCAATCTCAAGAGGGGAGGTCTTTAGAATAAGTTTAGGGTGCAAAACTCCAAGCTGCACATTTTACTACACAGAATCAAGTCTGGGGGTTTTAGTAGAGTAAGTACTTGGAATTAGCTTAGATGGATATTTATACTTTTTTTTAAAATTGGAGGTTTACTGGCTCTTACTAGAATTATAGTTTGCCTCATTATACAATGTGATGTGGGCCGACTGGACCATCTTCTTAATAAAGCCTGCACACAGCAATTAAGTGAGGCAATAGGCACCTTTTAATCCAGCACAAACATCCACTCTAAGCGCAGAGGTATGCTGTCCTAGCCACTGACCAACACAAATCTAAAACTTTTAAAAGCATCCCTGGACCTAGTATAAGTTTACTTAGGCATCGTTAGCCAGTAAATAGCTATTGGGGAGTCACCACAAGACCTATGAGAACATGCTTTCCTCTCACTGGTACTCACAAAGCAGCACTTTAAGCAGGTGACAGCCAACTGTAATAGTCCCAACATGGTCAGATTGCTGGCTCTTGGCCTACCTGTGCAAACCGCATCCGGTTCCGCTGGTAGGCAGTCTTCTGTGTGCGTGCTGTATCCACCAGTTGGAAACTAGTTTCATCTTCCTCGTGGAAATAAGCATACTGACTTCCACCACCAAACTGAGAGGAGTACTTATCTAAAGGCAAAGTTGGCAGTGTATAGTAACTACCAGTTACAGACTTTACAAATACATACTTGTCTAAAGCTTTGCTATGTGAAGTGTAGTCTTAGGACCCTTAGCCTTGGCCGGGAGCTTCTTAAACATGAAGACTGACACTCACCCCAGACCCAGTGAATCAGAATCAGCATTTTAACAAGATCCCCAGGTGATCTGTATGCACATTCAAGTTTGAAAAGCTCTGGTCTAAAGAATTAAGTCAAGACTAAGTCTGTGGAACTCAGGCCCATTTCACTCTCTGCCTATATATACTGTAAGAATGTAAGATTTACTTTTGTTTTAAAGGCAAATAATGGGACACACAGGTACCACTCAAGTTAGACACGTCTTATAGGTGATGATATACTTTTCTACCAACCTCAGCCTCAGATAATCTTAATTTAGTATTCCAGGTAGCCACTTCTAACAATCTCACCTGGTACAGAGAAAAAAAAAACCCATTTACTTTATCAGGATCTTAAAATCAGGGGTTGTAAACCCAGGTCGATTGACTGGCTTCACAGGTTCAGTAAATCCCAAGCAATGGCATGCATGTGTTCAACACATCTATAAAAGGGCTTTTGGTCCCCAAAGGTAGGGGAAAAAATCCTACTATAATAGGTCAAACTTCTTCAATGCACAGTTGCCACACAATTGCTATTCAGTCTTTGGAAATACATTCACATACAAAATGCTGAGTAAGAGTCCCTAAGTATATCCTGAAATTTGACCTCCTTTTCCAATTATTCCAGTTTTCTGTCGTCAATGCAAAACAAATCCTTACATAGAGCAAGTAGATACAGAATCAAGCAAAAGCTTGCCAGACACCTGAGGTCGCCATAAACCATAGGTCGTAAGTGGCCACATGTCAAATGTTCATAATTATGAGTACTAGGCATTTTTCTTAGAGCTTGTCATGCATAAATCCAAAAAACCCTCCCAACACTCCTGAGATAGGGGCCAGCATTATTTCAGGTAAGAAAACTGAGGGACAGAGAAGTTAGAAAATTGCTCACACTTGCAATGCTAGTTGATGAAAAATTTGAATGCAGTCGGCCTGGATCCAGAGTCCACACACTGCATAATGCTATCTACTCCTCTCAGGAGAGCCAACACCAGGAGCTCCAGAGCTACCTGCCTGACTATTCATATAAAAAATCTCTACACTTTTATTCACTGTAATCTTCAGAAGAAGATGAGTTTCCAGAGGAAAACTCATTACATCAATATTTCTGGAGGCAGGAGAGCAATAAAAAAGCACAGGTATGAACTGAACTTAGTAACTCTTCTCAGTGCCCCACGATGGGGAGACTAAGGTTTCTTACAGAGGTGACACTGGTGACAGCAACAGCGAATGAACCTAAGGCTTCATCCTCAAGCTTTAAACTTAAACTATACGACAGGAAGAGGACTGAAGGAAGGGTGGCAGTCTCAAAACAATTCACGTTAAGTACTTACGGAGGTCTTACTATGTGTGCAACACCATGCTAGATAAGTTAACACCACTAACTCCCCCATCCATTCTAGTGATAAAAATCTGGAGCTCAACGAAATCAACCGGTTTTTTTCAAAATAGATTTGATTTCCAGATTTGTCCAGCATTCTTTGGCTATTGAGAACTGGGGTTTTTAGACCACCCCTAATAACGACAACATCTCAAGACACGATGTTAAAAAATCTAGTGTTTTTGTCAGAGCTCAAGAAGGAATGAGACCAAAGGCTTGACAAGCATTTCTCCAGGGACTAGGAGGAAGTCCCTAGACTTCAATGTATGCAAAATAAGAGTGAGAAGAATGCAAGAGTAGCTGCAACAGCCATTCAGTTAAACTGGAGTGACAGCTCTACGAGCAACAGGGGCAGGATGGGCGGAACCGACAGAGCAGGCAGAAGGGCTGGCCCGCCCCGGTACCGTGTGGGATTATCGGGGCCTAACAGATCGTACGCCATCAAGCCCTTGGGGGAGGGGGTTTCCAATCACAGATCAAATCCACTGCATCCACGCCTTCCGCTTCACAGAAAAGTGAAGGAAACCTCTGGACCGATCGAAATCATCCGAGCAGGGCCGAACACCTCTCAGTTTAGCGCCCCTAATACCTCACTCATAGAAACTCAAGGGAACCTTCGGCCACTTTAGAAACCCTGAAACCCAGGTGGTTAAGTGGTATTATTAAAGTCGACCAGCCCTTGGCCCACCCAACAGGGCCGTGCCGCGCATAGGCAGTGTGCCGGACCTGGGGCCCCCGAAGGCGGCTTCTTGCCCCTCCCAGCGAAGAGACAGCGGCGGCCGGGGGGGACGTACCGGGTCTCTTCCGGGAGGCCCCCGAAGGCCGCGCCAAGCCGACGCCGGCTCCGGAGGTCCGCGGGACCATGCGGAACACTTTACTCACCTGCCACGGCCTCGGCCAGCCGCGATGGCGACAGATGGACCCGGCCGACGACCGCGCAGACCCCGGCTCCCTCAGCTACGGGGCAAAGGAGGAAAAGAGCGCGCGCCGAAGCCGTAAACACGACGGCGCTGTCGTAAACTGCTCGCCAGCTTCCTCCGGTTTCGGCGGCAGAGCGCGCGAGTCGTAAAGCGAAGATACATCCGGAAATTCGTCACCGCTCTTGGTGTGCTGTCCTCAGTAGTCTCTGAGGCGCCAAGACAGCAGAGGTATTTACAGTTACGTCACGGTCGTATCCGGCGACGTCCCGAAAGGGCGTTCGAGATGGTTGGGAAGTGGCCCCCGCGTAATCCAAATTTGAGGCGAGGAGCGGCTGATAGTCCTGTGTCCCACTATGCTTCACGGGACGCTTCGGCCCCTCTGTAGCGCACGATGACCCGGGGCCCCTGCCCTCTAGCCTTTCGTGTGGTTCGATTCCCACAGCGCAGCGGGAGCTGAGAGTCCGTGGCAGTTTATTGTTACCCCGCCTTTCTTCTACAATATCGGAATTTGAGGCCCAGAGATGTGACTTCAGAGTGACCTGAGTAGTTTAGGGGGGTGGCCGCCAGAATTCAAACCGTATTTACACATTTTTCAAGCTCTGTTGTGCGACGAAGATTTCTGGAGCGCTTATGTGAAAAATGCAGATTCCGGTTTCACTTAGATTGTTACTCAAGTATGTTTAAGATGGAGCCCAGGAATCTGCATTTTAATTAGCACCTGATTCCGAAGTGGCAACAATGGGCAACAGTGCTGTTCTTAACGCAGCTCTTCACTCGCGGAGTTTGAGAGTTTTTGCTGGGGGATGGTAAAACGTTGAAAGACGCTGAGGGCATTTCGTTCAAACTCAAGAAATTTTTCTACTTGGTCTCCTAGGTTTCCTTATCAGTCTCCCAGTGTGTCTCCTTTATTAGAAAATGTATCTGCTCTTACACCTGATACCCACTCTTGGCTCCCCCACTTCTAGCTGTGTAGCCCACACATCTTGGGGCCTTAGTTCCCATATCTGTATATTGGAGATAATATAATAATTGGGTGCTGTGAAAGTAAAAGTAAATGTATGTCAAAATACTTAGTAATTTCACTTACCAGTTGGGTGGACTTGGACAGGTTATTTGATTTCTCTAAAGCTGCTTACTCATCTGTGAAATGAAAATGAAAATGTTAATAGCATCTGTTTCCATAAATTCTTTCCCAGTCTACTCATTTTCCATCTTTCCTAGTTTTTGTTAGTGGTACCTGGTGAATGGTGCTCAGCGCAAAACCTTGTAGTTAACCGTTGGTAGTTATTTGCCCTTTCCTCCCACTAAGTCCTCTTTATTCTACTTAGAAAATACATGTTGAATGCTACCACATTTCCCCACCATCTCTAGCCTCATGTTTGGACTCCCAAGTGTCCACTCTTGTTCCTCTAGGATTCCATTTCCATATGGCCATCAAACCAATCTGTTCACATCTTCTAGCAGCTTCTCATTATGTGATTAGAGTGAAATATAAATGTCTTTCCATGTCCTGTCTGGTCCCAAGTTACATTTCAACTTTATATCCTGCCATTCTATACGTGCTTTGCTCTAGCTACCATGGTCTCTTTTTATCTCTCTAATACATCAACCTCATTTCCATTTCAGCAGGGTCTCTGCACTTTCTGTTCTTTCTGCCTGGCACCCTTTTCCCCAGGGATTTACCCCTGGCTGGCTCAGTCCCATTGTCCATGTCTCTGCTCAGGAGTTACCTCACCAAGATCTCTGAACACCATTCCTGAAACTGTCTCCTCCCTCCAGCCCTCCTTGCCCTCTTCTCTGATTTGTTTTCTTCATAGTTCTCATCACACTCTTGAAATATGTTTTGTTTCCCTGTTTAGGCTCTGCCTCTGCCTCTAGAGTATAAGCTCCATGAAAGTAGGGGCTTTGTCTGACTTTCCTAGAACAGTGTCTGCTAATACATTTTTGTTGAATTGTTGAATGGATAGTTTTGTAAATTACATGAGAAAAAGAATGCATTTAGTACATTGGGAAGATAGATAAGCACCCCATTAATTTTAGTGTAATTAAGATCAGTATTGATTGTAATATGCTCTACAATACAAGGGGAGGTATATTTTTGCTGAACTGCTTGAACCATGCCTTTTTTTTTTTTTTTTCGCTGTGAGTCCCCAGGCCATCTGCTGCAGTCTTTCTTTCATGTCAGAGTTTAATCATTTTTCCCACATTTGGTCTGGACCCCCCTGCCCAGCCCAGATGGAGGGTTTGGAGTGCCCTGTCTCATTCTCAGTAGTGGGTCCCTGGGCTTGAGTGGGAGGTCTTGCCTTCATTCTTCTTTGCAGCTGATGCCCCTGCTGCCTCTCTTTCTGTTTAGCCCATTGTGCATTCTCCACAAACAGCTGGCATGACCTTCCTTTACTTCATATCGGAGCATGTGCTACCTCCATTCTAACCTTAAAATCCTGAGGATAAAATCTCATACTCTGTTCATGGTCTGCAAGTTTCTAAATAATGGCTTCCCAGTGGCAGCTTCTCTTTCTGGGTCATACACAGGTTCATTACTACCTTGAGACCTTTCACCTGCAGTTCTCTGGTGCCCCTAGATCGTCATGAGCCTGTGTCCTCATTAAAACAGGCTCTTCCTGACCACCCCTCTGAGCAGCCTTACCTGGTCCTCACTCTTGCTGACCATGTGTCTGGTACTATTCCAAGTGCTTACATTAACCCGTTTAATTCTCACCACAGCCTTGTCATGTGGAGGCTGTTATTCTTCCTGTTTTACAGATGAAGGTGTGGTGGCAAGGAGACATGCTCTAGGCTGAACAATGTGTAGTGAAGCTGGGGTTTTAAATTTAGGAAGCAGCCTGGCTTCTGCTCTTTTGTGTATCCCATTAGTGTTTTCCTGTTGACTAATGTTTCCTTCTATTAAAATTATCCTGTTTATTTGTATGCTTATATCTTGTCTCCTCATTAGAACATAAACCTCACGAGAGGTGAATCTTACATGTCTTGTTCACTGTTGTATCTCCAGCTATTAGGATTAACACATGGTTGGTGTTTGGAAAATGTTTTTTGGGTGAACAGGTGATCTCTGAGAACAGTTGCAGGTATGGCCAGTCCCTCTTCCAGTTGCACAAACTACATCTCCTTGTGTGTCTTCTGAGAACCACCACAGACATTATCACCCCATTTTACAGATAAAACCAAGCTGCAGTGAGGAGGCATGTTCGCCCAGTCAGCAAGCTGGTAAAGGTGCAATTGGAATGGGAAGCTGGGGTGCTTGAAACCAAAGCTGGCACTCAGACACAATTTCAAAATCCATAAAAACTCTGAAAACCAAAAGCTTTTCCATAAGTTGGGGCAAACAATAGCAAACCTGATGTGAATTGATGTGAGGTTATTTATAGTCTTTATTTTCTCCCACGTAGTATGAATATTTACACATTTTGCTATGGAAAAGTCAAAGGGTTTATAGAATACTACCCTAGAGCTCACTGAGAATATTATATAACATATGGCAGAACTACTGTCAAACTTCTCTAAAATCCAGAGAATTCTGTTATCAAACACATCAAGTCCCAGGGTTTCAGATGAGGAACTGTGGACTTTTACCATGCTTTTCTGTTTCAGTGATGCAGAGATCGTTAGCCCCATTTTACAGATGAGAAAGACTGAGGGTAGAGGCAATGGTGCCCCGGGCAGACTCGCTGGCACTGCAGCATTTTATCAACCTGTTGGAGGGTGTGCCAGTAGGAAGGTAAGCCTCTGAGTTATCAGCCCACCCCAACTGTCCCAAGAGCCTTGTCGCCCCAGCAAATGTTTAAAAATAGAGAACCTGGCAGGATTAAAGCCCCAAAGGATGCTTCAAGTCCCCCGGAAGAAAGGGAGGCTTGCTGTACATTCTGATGGTTGGCATTCAAATTTATTTTTTTATCTCAGCTGGATGTACACTCACCCATCACAGGATCAGTTCTCAGAATAGAGAGATACCTGTTGAATTATCCACTCCACTTCCTGCCTCATGTGGGCATCTCTCCAAGTGCTGAGCCATGCACTTTTCTGCCATGGCCTGAGATATATCAGGATTTGCAGCCCTGGTGACAGTAGACAAAATAGACTCCTATTTCCTTTGGAGCTATTTAGCTAGTTTAGAGAGGGCTTCACTGTTTCAGTGGGATGAGCAATAACCAGGCCTCTCCTTGGCTCCTTCTGTCTGCACTGTACTTTGGGTGGTGTCCTGGGGACAAAGGTAAATGCTGATTTGGGCTTGGTCTGGCTCTCTAGTCATGGGCTAATAGGTGCCCTTCCCTGAATGTCAGGTCTAACTTTCTTCAGTACATGTGTTGTTCTCTGTGCCACATGCCCTGGCTCCTGCTGTTCTTAGGACTGGGAACTATGCCTGGCAAGTGTCTTGAGAGCCTTGTTGGGGGCCAGGTGACTGCAAGTGGTATTTAAGGGGGTCTCATGAGGCAGTATGGCATCAGGGCAATCCAAGCAGACATCCGTGGAGACAGACCGCCTGAATTTGGATCCTAGGTTAGCACTAGCCATGCGACCTTGGGTAAGCCACGTGACTGTCTGAGCCTTGGCTTTCTCATCTGTAAACTGGACAGAATCAGAGGAAGTAGGTAGTGAGAATTAAGTCAGATAAAATGTAAAGTGTTTAAAGCTGTGCCTGGCATGCAGTAAACCTTTAATTCTTGCCAGTTGGATTAGCATGGTCACCTGTGAAGACTCTGACCAGGGACAAGATATTACATTTCAAAAGCAATTACTGGTCACTTGGGGGAATCCAGGCCCTGAGTTCCTCTCTCAGAGTTCAGAGAGAGACTCAGTCATGCTCTCAAGTACACCAAAGTCTAGTGGGAAAATAGGTGTGGCTGACCAGGGCTACAATATCCGTTGAGTGCTTAATGAAATATCGAGTCTACATTATAAAGCAGATTTCACATAAAAGTCCAGATTTTTGACTTCTGTTAAGATCTAGCCACACTGGTTAGCTTTCTCACATGTTGATCAGCTGGTGCTGAATGGGTGCTGTCCCCTAGGCCAGAGCTTTCTGCTTTTCCACAGTCCCCACTCTTCCCTATTGCATCATAACTGACCTTCATGTTCACGTATGTTTGCTGCCTTGTCCTCTGGAAATTTGTAGATAAATGACCATGTAATGCTATGAGGGCTGCGAGAACACAGGGATAATAACTCAACCCTGGGCAGTCAGATAAAGCTTCCCAAGGGACATGAAGCCA